GCTGTGTTATGGTAATAATTTAAATAATTTAATATCAACTATACTGATAAAGTATTAACCAAAGAAATGGTATTAAACATTGTAACCGGTATCTTGGTTGGTTATGTGATAATGGTATTGTGATAAGGGAAACTGCTCCGAGGGTGCTGTCTCCAGACGCTCGTCYCAGCGAGCGCCAAATTTTTTATGTGGGAAATTATAATAAAATGTGGTAATTTGTAGTACTCGTCGTGGGATTTGAAAAATGTTTAGCTGGCAACACTGCCGACTAGTGCTTTGCACCGAGTGCATTGATAGTTGCACGAGACCCGTTCGACGGTGTCGACGGTGGTTTTATCATTTTTCTGATAAAATTGATACAGTCTRATAATTCTGATCTGATATAAAAAATTATACGAATAATTTGACATTTGTTAAGATTTTAAATTTGTTGTCCAGTAAGTTGAAGTAACTAGTTAGTCACTTATTAGTTATTAATTAACGACTTATAATTTATAAGACATAAGTTACAACTATACTTCAGAATATTTAAATTCCAGTGCCCATCAGGTCTCTACAAAATACATCACCATTTAATACACTACACATCCAGTCTAAAATATTATATAATAATGAACAAACAACAGATTTTAACTTTAATGAGTTATTTATCGTCTAGCGATAGCGATGATGATGAATTGATTTATAACATTATAAAACAGCCTGTTATACGACCTAAATTTTTTAATTTTATTCTTAATGTTGTACACTCATACTCGAATAAACAGGTACCTAAATCAATTTTAGCTTTATTCAAAGTATTGGTTCATTAATACTACAAGTATTTAGTTTATTATTCTCTTTCTTGAGAAGTTAGTATTTCATTGTCATTWTTTCATAAAGGGCCTTCGCCCCTTAACCCCTATAACTATTTTATTATTTATATTGTAATTGTTCTGCCGACTGAGCTCTTGAAGTTACCGTGAATTTCCCCCACGTTAAAAAAAAAAAAAACTAGTACTTATTCCCTTTTAATTCTCTTGTGCCCCTGTTATCAATACTGTCTCATGCATAGTGCTGGTCAACGACAGACTAAACCACCTGACAGGTACAATCCCTCAAGCTATTATCACTCTCCCATACTCCCTGCTACTGATTTCGATCTCATATATATATTAAAAGCACCCTAGGTGTCGGCGGACCTGCGGGTACACAATCCGTCAAGCTATTATCACTCTCCTGTACTCCCTGCTACCGATTTTGACCTCACGATGAGTAACCCCAACGAGGAAGACATCTCCCTAACCGAAACAGCCACTCCATCCCTAGCCTCTCTCCAACGGCAGATCGATGATATGAATAAGGTTTTCCATCAACAACTCGACTCCTTTGCCCTTCGGTTTACCGAATATGATGAAAAGTTCCACGACCTATGTACCCGCGTAGATGAGATTGACGCTGATATAACGTCCAGGTTGACACAAGTCCAAACTAATTTTCATGCCGATTTTGTAACAATACAGGGCAACATCAATGATTTAGCAACTAGCAATGAGAATTCCCACTCCACMACGTTAAAT